GCGCAGGGAAGAGTGAGTTTTTTTCAAATGAAATGGTGGTCCGGTCTCCCGAGCAGAGTGGATTTAAAAGCAGCAGCAAGCGGAGGAATCACTAATAAATGTGAGTATTGGGTTTTAACTTACTTTAAATTAACTAACGTCACACACGTCAAACCCAAGGGGCATTAAAACGTACATTTTCGTTAAATAATACGGTTAAATACGTGACATTAGTGACGCTAACTAGCTAGCTGGACGTACTGCACTTATTCTTAATTCAATTCAGAAGTTTACTAAAGTCATACAGAGATCTTGGCTCTGTTATAGATACGTTATACTTTATATTACATAAATAGACCAAAGTGAAAACATTTAGACCTGTATAGCCTACAGTATGGTGGGATTTATAAAATACTACCCTGACGTGTAGCTGCTGTTTGCTTTATTTATTTCTCTGACATGTTGTAATGTTTTACTGTTTATTAAACTTTGGGACAACATTACAACCTTTGTGTTCAGCTCATGCTGCTTTGAGGTAAGGCTAAAAAAGAGCCTATTTTAAATATTTCCACCAGATTTGATCAACTTTTATTTAGGTTAAAGTGTATTTAATTTATCCTAATCCCATAATAATAATACGACAATCACAAATAGACAGCAGCCTTTTGCTTGATGTTAGTTTGTGCAGTGCTGTCAAAGGGATGCAAGTGTGACTGTCACTTCATCTCTTTAGTTTTTAAAAAACCAAAACAGTACATAATTTTAAATAATCCTTTAAGGATTGTTTGTCTGAAATGCTTAGTTACATTTTGCAATAATACTTTTGCAACCCTGTGTTTAATATGATTAATTCACTTTTTTATTTTTCTCTTGTTTTTCTTTGTAAATAGGACAATTCTGGAGAAATGGATCTGCTGGAGAAGGACCCCTAATCTGAAAAGTGCACAGCAGATCATCAGGACAGAGCTGCCATCCACCTGGACCCCCCGTGGTGCTGGAGAAGGACCCCTAACCCCAGCGGATCATCAGGACAGAGCTGCCATCCACCTGGACACCCCGATGTGCTGGAGAAAGCAAAACGGCGATCAGGAACATCCTCCACCCAGACCTCTGCTTACTGCTGTCTTACAGACTTGTGTCTTAGTTTCAGAATTTGATTTTGTATGTGTCCTTTCTTTTAATAGATATGTAACGATTATAGCTTGAGTCTGTCTGATTCCCCAAACGGCTGCTTCTATATACTTGCTGCACATATAATACAAATAAACAACTCCATAAACACACTTTTGCTGATATTTGTTTTACTGCTGGTGATGTTAAATAACATGATTGATTTCCTCTCTCAATGATGAAAGTTATAATAATAGAAGACATGAAGCTGCAGAGAGAGGATGGATATATTCTTACCTCTACTTTGTGATAAGATGAAAATACAAAATGAAATACTTAATACTACTTATTCATCCAAAAAATAAAACAAGTATAATTCATACACACAAAGATGAACAACATTTGTAGAAGCAATATTGGCATTATTGCGTCAAAAACGTATAGAAATTAAGGAGTACAAAGAAATAAAGAAAACTGGAGAAAAAATGTAATAAAAGTTAGGGCAGGAAAAAAATAAATGCATATATATATATAAATAAGAAAACTAGATATAGGGTCATTTTCTGCACATGTCAATATCAGTTTCAACTATCTTTTTTTGGAAATGAAAATACTATATATAAATATATACATATGTATACATGTACTTGGCAACTGAATAATAATAATATATATATATGTATACTTCTTCTAGTACTAGACTCCTGGTACTAGGATGGGTTAAAAGCAGAAAACAAATGTCACTGTGTGTGCTGTGTGCTCTGCATGTGTGACCATTAAAGAGGGTTTCATCCCTCCCAATTCTATTCGATTCTATATGCATATAATAATATATGCATATAAACATTGTGAACACTTATTTTCAAGTGACTTTTTTTACATTCATATGTTCACATACACAAAATATACATAAGCACCATATGTTCAAGTGTATATGTACACAAATGCACTCATATACACCAATACAAATATTGCAAGGCAATTTCCAGGGCTGAAATAATAATTCAACCCCATAACGATTTAAAGAAATAAGAAGGAACAAATAAATAAAAAGCAATGTAAACAATATTGAATAAATAAACAAACTGAGAAGTTATTATTTCTAAATAAAAATAAATAAAAATACTGATTCTGGGAATACCCAATATTTGTTAGCTGGAGTAATCTGCAAATATAATTTTTTTTTATTTAGTTTTGTTGATGACAAGTGATACTTGAAAGGTCTGGGTGAAGTCCATTCCACGTTCTAACTGATTAGGGATCAGCTGTGTGATTTGATGGTTGTTCTACAGGGCTTGCTACACAACCAGTTAGGATGCCTTGTTGGGTATTTCCTGACTGTGGTTTGGAACTGCTTTTGAATGTTATTAGGCATTTTGTTATCGGTGCATAATCAGTACTGTTTTAAGCTTTACTATGTCAACACATTTTAATAGATTGAGTTTTTTAAATATGGGAGTTGTATGTTCATATTTACCAACAACCCAGACTATTCGTAATACCTTTTTTTGGGATGTTATTATTTTTTGTAGATTTGTTGAGTACGTGTTTCCCCATACTTCGGAGCAGTAGTAAAGGTAAGGGAGAAATAGACTGTTATGAAAAGTTCTGAGTATTTCTTCCTCAAGAATGTTCTTAGTACAAAATACCTATTGTTTTTGACAGTTTAGTTTGTACAAAATTGATATGGTGCTTCCAGTTGAGTTTTTCGTCAACAAGCAGTCCTAAAAATGTACATGCACCAACTTTTTCTATCTCGGTATTGCAAATCCGTATAATGCAGTCATTTCTACTCTCAGACTTTGTATTGAATAACATGTCATTTGTTTTGGCCACATTAACCTGTTAAGCCCCATTTCCCCGAGGGCGGGGGAAGAATCGCAACATCTGCAAGAAACAGCGTCTGAGGGCCTCTTAACATTTAAAAACCTATTAATGTGTCATACCCACTTAACGGGAAGAAACTCAACTATCAGACAATATTAACAATTTTTAGCAAAACGAAACATAAGGGTAATAACAAAGGCTCTGAATTAGCCCTGAGCGAAAAAATGCTAACACACTTAGCACAGAACTCACAAATACCCTTATTACTTATCGTATCTGCACAAACAATATATCGATTAACAAGCTGAGATTGCACAGATTCGACAGGTATTAGTATCATCACTGAGCGATCCGAACTCGCGACATGAGAAGTTAACAAAGACATCACACCACGTAGCATTAGGTAGCCAACACGGCAATATGTCTTACCTTTGTTGTTTTCTGATCAAAAGTTGTCTTCAATGGCATTAAAACGATAAAAACGCTGCTGAAGGTTAATCCATAGGTTAATCCAATGTGTCTGTGTCCCTTTGAAATGATTTCTGATAATCCATCAGCAATAAACCTAGTTTTAAGTTTTCAGATTTCAGAGCGTAAGATAGCTTTCGTTTTGGGCAAACTGTGTGTGCATAGCTCTCATTTCTCAATGGTAACGTGTGTGTGTATGTGGAAATTCCCCTTCGATTCTATTGGCTCTAACGGTTCAAAAGAGATGTCAATCATCAAAATCGACCAATGGGTTCCAGAGAAACGGCAAATACACCCATTTCCACCCAAATGACCCGAGGTGGGTTTTTTTTTGCTAAACCTCTCTAAAAAGGACAAATGTCACTTGTTTTGCATCAATCTTGATACAGGGTACTTATTATATGTTATAGTTTGGATTCCTAAAGCTTTTAGTCTACTATCCCATCATTCAAGGGTGGTTTTCACTATAAGTAATGTTTTTTTTTGGACGGACACTATAATTTAAATTTTTTTACTGTTCAATCTGAATTTACTTTAAAATAAAAAAAATCTATATTGATTGTGACTTTTCTACATCCAACTCACAGGTTTATCATTGCTTTGAGAAAAAAGATTATTAATTTAACCCTTTTAGAAGGGAAGATATGGTCATTTGTTCTGGGAAAGTCATTTTCGAGCCTGAGACCTGAAAAACAGGCTTGGGGGTTAACAGGTTAAAGGTCCCATGTCATGGCCATTTCTACTGATCATAATTCCATTGTTGAGGTATACTAGAATAGATTTATATTGTTCAATGTTCCAAACTCACATTGGTTTCTCATACAGCATCTCTGTATAGTATGTGTATTCACTCTCTGTCCTAAACGCCTTGTTGGAGCTCTTGTCACATCACAACATTGTAAAGTTAGCTATCATATATCAGGCTATAACTAAAGTAGTATTGATAATATAGTAACGTTACTGGCAGGACTGTTGATACTGATCCATGACAGAAACTAATGCGCAAGTATCAGCCGTATCTCGCGTTACCTAATGCAACTCCACACTACGGCCGTGTCTCAATTCAGGGGCTGCACCCTTCGGAGTACGCAGCCTACGCGGTCCACGGAGGACCCAGCCCACGTAGACCGGGTAGGCTGGACCTAGCAGCCTACGAAATGAGACGGGCCGTTTCTCAATGACGAGTAAAGCTGCTCCAGAGCCACTATTTTAAGCATACTACGTCATGGAGTGGCGCCGAATCACTGTTTAAATGCCCAGCATACATGTGCTACCAAGCAAGCCTCCTCGACATTGAAGGCTTCTCAATACTCTAATTTCCCCTCCTCGACTGCCCTCCTCGACTCCTATCCTCGTGTCTTAGTCCCGCCCACAGGAGATGCGAGCGGAGGAGTCGAGGAGGGGAACCGAGGAGAGAGGGGAAGCAGCAGGTGTTTAGAGAAATGAGAAATCCTCTCCTGAGCGGTCATTTTAAATCAATTATATTTCTCAATGCTAAATCAGACATAGAGGACCAAACCCAGGGGTCAAACAATGAAGTGGAAAGGCATGTCACGAGCAAACACTGGAGTTATGTGCAATCGTAGAAGATATTTCAAATATTATTTAACTATATGTAAAATGTATTATTTATAACTGTTTATTGGGTGAATCTCATTTCGACAAATCATCTGACATTTAAGCTCATGTATGGTTAAACAGCTGTTTCTCAACTCGTATTTTGCAGTGAAACAGTGAGTGCCCACCCCCCCTCAGAAAAATGCTGTGCTTCTGCCTGACCTCAGCAGTGTGAGCAGCAGATCAAGCCTTCCAGTCTTTTTAAATGAAATGAGTAGACATGGATCATTAGATCATTCTAATGAGAAAAGCCATGGCTATTTTCAGCAAACACAGAATAGTGGATGAATTATGTCAATTATAGAAAACAAACAAGTAACAGATGTGCATGTGTCTTCAGATATGTATTCAGAAAGTGTTTACATAGCAAAGACAAATACTCAAATAAAAGATGTTTATATTCAAAGTTCGCCATGTGCTCTATATTTTTCATTAGTTTTGTTTTACAGAAAAAATTGATTTATTGTATTATGTTTAATTTAAACTAGACATAACAATGAAAACCGATTTCAAGAGTGTAAACCACAGTCTATCAAAAAAGAAGTTTCACAATGATTTATTTATTTAATAAATGACCATTTAAAATTGTAGTCCAGTTTCATTTGATATCATCTGCCATTAAAAACATTGAGAAGAAAGCGGGCCGCTGAAGGATCAGTCCTCCTCTTCCTCCTCTTCCTCCTCCTCCTCCTCTTCCTCCTCTTCCTCCTCTTCCTCCTCCTCCTATTCCTCCTCCTCCTCCTTCTCGAAGGCCACGCCGGTCGCCGGGCGCTTCCTGCAGGACGAGCAGCACTGCTTTACGTTTGCAGATAATATATGCGAGTACTGTCAGAGAGTTAGGGACGGCTCGTTGTACCTTTTAGTTCCTGGGTTGATAAGAGAAGCTCCTGGAAGTCGTTTCTTCATCGTCACTGCTGGAGCTGCACTCTGCTGGCCCTCTGAGGAGAAGCCCACCATCACACCGTCACAGCCCCCCATCACAGCATCACAGCCCAGCATCACAGCCCAGCATCACAGCCCAGCATCACAGCCCAGCATCACAGCCCACCATCACAGCATCACAGCCCACCGTCACAGCCCCCCATCACAGCCCACCATCACAGCCCCACCATCACAGCATCACAGCCCACCATCACAGCCCACCGTCACAGCCCACCATCACACCGTCACAGCCCACCATCACAGCATCACAGCCCCACCGTCACACCATCACAGCCCACCGTCACACCATCACAGCCCACCATCACAGCCCACCGTCACACCATCACAGCCCACCATCACAGCATCACAGCCCACCATCACAGCCCCCCATCACAGCATCACAGCCCAGCATCACAGCCCAGCATCACAGCCCACCATCACAGCCCACCATCACAGCATCACAGCCCACCATCACAGCATCACAGCCCACCATCACAGCATCACAGCCCACCATCACAGCCCACCATCACATCACAGCCCACCATCACAGCCCACCATCACAGCATCACAGCCCACCGTCACAGCCCCCCATCACAGCATCACAGCCCACCATCACAGCCCACCATCACAGCATCACAGCCCACCATCACAGCCCACCGTCACAGCCCACCATCACACCGTCACAGCCCCCCATCACAGCATCACAGCCCACCATCACAGCCCACCATCACAGCATCACAGCCCCACCGTCACAGCCCACCGTCACAGCCCCACCGTCACACCATCACAGCCCACCGTCACACCATCACAGCCCACCATCACAGCCCACCATCACAGCCCACCGTCACACCATCACAGCCCACCATCACAGCCCACCGTCACACCATCACAGCCCACCGTCACACCATCACAGCCCACCATCACAGCCCACCATCACAGCCCCACCGTCACACCCATCACAGCCCACCATCACAGCCCACCATCACAGCCCACCGTCACACCATCACAGCCCACCATCACAGCCCACCATCACAGCATCACAGCCCACCGTCACACCATCACAGCCCACCGTCACAGCCCACCATCACAGCCCACCGTCACACCATCACAGCCCACCATCACAGCATCACAGCCCACCATCACGGCCCACCATCACAGCCCACCATCACAGCCCACCATCACAGCCCACCATCACAGCATCACAGCCCACCATCACAGCCCACCGTCACACCCATCACAGCCCACCATCACAGCCCACCATCACAGCCCACCGTCACACCATCACAGCCCACCATCACAGCCCACCATCACAGCCCACCGTCACACCATCACAGCCCACCATCACAGCCCACCATCACAGCCCACCCATCACAGCCCACCGTCACACCATCACAGCCCCACCATCACAGCATCACAGCCCACCATCACAGCCCACCATCACAGCCCACCATCACAGCATCACAGCCCACCATCACAGCATCACAGCCCACCATCACAGCCCACCATCACAGCATCACAGCCCACCGTCACACCATCACAGCCCACCATCACAGCCCACCATCACAGCCCACCATCACAGCCCACCATCACAGCCCACCGTCACACCATCACAGCCCACCATCACAGCATCACAGCCCACCATCACGGCCCACCATCACAGCCCACCATCACAGCCCACCATCACAGCCCACCGTCACACCATCACAGCCCACCGTCACAGCCCACCGTCACAGCCCACCGTCACAGCCCTGATTTGTTTTAATATACTTTATTATTCACCTAGCCTCAGGGTTTCCAAACGTAATAGAATAATTAGGCAAAAGACCAAAATAGCATACTAACTCACAGCAAATAGTAAACTTTAAATAAAAAGATGTATAGTACACTATGTTTATATATATTTCTGTCCCTTTAGTAGATTGGTATATTAGAGTATTTATATCATTTATTATTTATATTTTATAGTGTGTATTCTTAGATACTCCTCTAGATAAATGTCTTCTCTACTGTGAAAATGTATATTTTGGCTTTTAAAGTTTAACTTTAAAGTATTTAATTTGATTTGTATTTCATTCTACTTTTAAGATTTTTTTTTCTTGCACAATGTCTGTGACGAAATAATTTTCCAACTGAATGTCATGAGAGCTGTCATGCACTCGTGTTTTCTGCCCTTTGCTATACTTGCAGAACCCCCCCCCCCCCTCCCAAAAAACAAAGTGGAAAATAAACTCGTAAATTGGTAACTTTAGAACTCTTTAGAAACATACCTGCAGGCCGCCACTGGTCAGGTTTGACTGGACCGACAGAGGGGGGTCCACCTGGGGGAGCGGTGGACAAGATGACAGCGTAGAGTTTAAACTGGGGATAAATAAAGTTATTATTAAATAAGCGCAAACCCTGCACTGAATGTGACGTCACTGCAATAAATACATTTACTGTCAGCCATCCTGAACAGCAGCTCCTTCACTTCCTCAGGGGCCCGGGGGCCCTCCAGCCTGGGCAGGGTCACACTCAGGTCCCCTGCAGCCGAGCTCACACACACCTCTGCACACGATTCATGGAGCACAACAGACACCCCCCCCTGACCACAGGCTGACCTAGGGGAAAGACAGAAGCATATAAAGCCTGAATAACGTGTGATATTATTATTTTGATATTATTAATAATGATTAATATCACACAAAGTGGTTTTAAAGACTATAATCTCACCTGAGGTTCAGAATATAATCCACTGTAGACTTCAAGGCAATCCTCTGCCCCTAAACAAACAGGTGTATGAGACAGTGGTTCAACTTAACCCCCCTTGAGGCTCTGAAGTTAAGTTAGGTCTCTTAAGTAGTGTAACATTGTATTTCATATGTCTGTAGTATTACACAACTGATTTGTTTTTCATGTTTTAAACATTGTAAAAAAGCTATCATGCCAAGAAAGTGGAGGAGAAAGACTGAGGAGAAGGAGAGAGAGCCACTGATGCTGAAGCTACTTCTTTAGGAACGGCTACAGCCTTCAATAACACTACAGTAGAGGAGTTATTTGACAATCTGGCTAAAGTGACCGAAAGATGAGCGAATAACCACATTTGATAACCTGAATAACTATCAATGACTAGAAATAAATCAGTAGTACATGTACAACAGACTGGTACATGTGTTTACCTACCAGCCACCTTTACAAGGATTCTGTTTAGGGCCGTTTAGTTCATTCTGATTCAGATCTGGCTCTATCCCCTCTAAACATGATTTATAATGTTGACTACAGTGCAGACACCAAAGCAGCCAGGCAGAGAAAGGTTATTATATTTTTCAGGTTCAAACAAAAAAAAGTCAATTGTTCAGTTTGTTCAGATGGCTACATTTTGATTGACAGAAGACATCCTGAAGTAAAGGTTTTTGTTGTTATTTGACTTCTATCTAATTTGTCTTTGCCTAGAGGACAACATAAGTACAGATGGGCTCATCCTACCCCACTCCCCCCTACAGACTGCTTGAAGGTGTCCTCCGTGACCTCTGTGCTCCACACATCAGTGGCATCTGTCAGACTGCAGGAGGTCACAAAGGGGTCAGAGAAACAGTGTCAGTCCATCAGACTGCAGGACGAAGCTGACAGATGAAATCTCTGTAAGTATTACGGTCTAAGAGGCTCACAACATCTGCTTTATGTTCTGACATTTCGCTCATAAGAACAGCCATTAATCTGTTCCAAGTTAATTCAATGGAGCTTTTAGCCTTCTCTGAGTCTTAGAAATGTTATTTTTTCAACACAAACTGTGACTCACCAAATATTCAACATTCCGTTTTTCCTGTGTGTGTAGCATATATATTTAGAGTGGTTCTTTTTATCCAACACAATGCAGAACCACGTCTGAAAGACTTCCATGTTTGGCAGACGGAAAGCAGAACTACTTCTTCTTCTTCTCCTTCTTCTTCTTCTCCTTTTTCTTCTTCTCCTTTTTCTTCTTCTCCTTTTTCTTCTTCTTCTTGAGGTTTATTAGCGGTTTGCATTACCGCCACCTACTGGACTGGAGATTGAGGAGCAGTAGTAAAATATGCTAGAGATTCCTGTGTCACTGATGAGGTCCCAGTATTCTTGCCAACTTTTGCGTATATAATCTTTAATAATGTTTATACCCTCCGCTTTACTGAATGGTATTTGTGTGTCTGTTGACTGTTGTTTTAGTGATTGTTTGGCTAGTTTGTCTACCTCCTCATTCCCTCCCTCCCCAACTTGAGCAGGAACCCAGAGGAAGGAGATTTCAGATCCTCTATCATGCAACCTAACTAGTAGTGCAAGATTATAATACACAATGTCCTGCCTGCATAATGACTTATGTGATGACTTCCAAAGAGAAAAGCAAGCACACTCGGATTATTTATTTATTTTTTAAATGTTTTTCGGATTTCATATCGCATAGACACACGTGCATTGCGGCTAAACAATCCAATCACCGAGCTTAAACCATAGCTGAGGATCTTGGGTAATCAGTTCAGTGGGTGTGTATCTGTTTCCGGTTATTTTATTTTGAAATTCAGTTCCTGACGGACGCCAAAAAAGCCCGGGATTATAGAATTAAACAAATAAATAAAAACAAGGATAATTGTGTGTTATTGTTGAGTAAATAACAGTGTGTTATTTAGAAAAGAATAACAAATTAGAAGGAAAAAAAGATTTAAAACATACAGATTTCAGTATTCTGAGGCTCTGAGCCACATTTATTTTCCTCGCGGACGGCAAAAAAAGTCCTAACCCTAACCCTAAAAACAATAATCGTGGCTTGATATTGAGTAAGAACATGTTTTTATGAACCACACAGCTTCCGGTCTTCCAAGACCCGACCTGACAAAAAGACGTGTTGCAGGCACGAAACACACTACCAATAGAAATACATTGCTTTTAAAATCGTTCTGTGTGACACGAAAAAAAGGGGAATATCGTGTTGGTGAACACGAATCAATAGATTAAATGTCGTGACTATAACACGAAATGCCGTGAGACTGGGTTGCCGGTGCTGTTAAGACTCTGGGTTTGTTGTTTTCTCCACCCACTGTTTGAGTTTGAGGTGACTGTGTGTTAATATTAGGCCTATATAAACGACAACTAGATTATGCTTCACATCCATCCGTGGAGACTCTCCTTGCACATCATCTCAGCCTCAGTTAGCTAACCATGGATAAATTGAAACATAATAGAGTTTAATTCTCCGTGGAGTGACTTATTTACTTTTACTATATGTGGCAAGAAATCAGCAAACAACCCAAAATGTAATTGTAAGACATTTCGAGAACAAGCACACAGCAGAAAGAATTAGGATGACACACTGAAACAGACTTGAAATACAAAGAGTGTAGGCTGCAGCTATGTTTTATTCATTTCAAGGTGGTCTAGTTTTTTGTCCTCTTCAAACGGGTTCGGTGATTTGCTTTGTCTCAACAGGTTAAAATACCAAACATGTAGAAGCAGTTCTCTTTATTGTTGTTCTTTATTTTATAAACACAATAATTTATAGTTTTTGTACATATCTATACATAAAACTTCATAAGCTGTGCTATCAAACATGTTTTGTGGCTCCAGACAGATTGTATTTGCTGACCCAGAGGAAGGGAAGGAGGGGGGAACAACCTCAGTCCAAATGTTGAATGCACCGATGAGATAAAGGATAAAGATGGGACACCTGTACTTAACCCAAATCTGAATACATTAAACCTCTCTCCCCAGGGGGGAAATGATGGGAGATCTGTGGAGTGACCTAAATCCGACAAGGAGAGGTTACATCTTTTTTCTCACATCCTCATTCTGTATACCCGAGGCTTTCTTTATATATTCAAAGAGATGTGTACACTGTAAAAATGGATGTATTCGGACCATGGATTTATCGGATCATACTGCGGGCTCCATGGACTTGATACTTGGACTTCAAAGTAAAAAAACGGTCTTGGTACTGAACTTGAGGTTTCTTAACTAAATGAGGGAGCAATTTAGGACAGATAACAAAGGTTATCCGTACAATAAGGATAAGTGTCCCTGTTGATGGGATGCATGCACAGCTGTCCTTACTGTAGATAAAAAGTAATAGGCTATTGTTCAAACTTAAAAAAGCAGAGAGAACAAAAACTGAAGCAGCTTCACACTAATCTTAACATCTGGAAAGTATACATGAGAAACGTTTTAATCAACAAACAAAAATGGAAAATGGTTATTTTTAAAACAAAGATATAATGAAACAGGAGGGAAATCTTGCAAACAGATCAAAAAAGCAACAGGCACAAAACACCATTTATAGGACCCTAAAACAAGTTTCAAACACAGCTAGCATGTGGCTATCTGTAACCTTTTATAAAATGTATATGCAAACACTCAAATAGACAAAACCTATATCAAGGTATTTTTGATGTGATTACATTTAAATGGTGAGGGACAAAAAAAATGAAATTATGGATAAGGAATACAAAAAATGGAATTAAAACAAAATAATGCAGCAGGCCCAGAAGGTTTCCCTCTGAATGGTTCAGGGAAATGAAAGATATGCTGACTCCATAATGAAGGACACCTTTAACCACAGGAACAGGATCAGACTCTTCAGGCACTTCATAACATCAACTGTGAGTTGGTTGGAAAGGCCCCTGAGTACACACACTATTAAAGTCTTTATCAGTGCATGCAGCCAATACAAAAACATTCCCTTTTCACTGCCGTACCCCCGATCTCTGTGCTCTGATCAACTATTCCTCCTACAAAATGATGTTAACAACAAACTGCTACAACTAAACTGCATACCCAATTACGTTTCCAGGGACAACAATTTGTTCTGGGTTGTGGTCGCAGTTTAGACACTCAGTTATTGTTAAAAATTGAAACAAAACAAAATGGGTTCTTGCTTTTGAAAGTTTAGGGAACAAAACTATTTGTTTATGCAAAAACCAAAAGGTGATCAGGGCTACAATTGAAGTAGCATTTGAGGAGACCAGTGGGTTCTTATTGAGAGAAACTCTGCAGAGCTGCCATGGCATTGTGTCACTGAGAGTGGTCCTGAATCCACTGGCAGAATCTGCGTGAGTAATTGGCAGGGCTGACTGTGGAAAAGGCCCTGCCTGGGTATCGGAGGCTTTTCCACATGTTCTCCAGTCTTTTCTTCCAGCCATAGACAGTGAAAATGTCTATAATGCCCACAAAGTAGCGTTGTTCTGGCCCGTCAATCACTTGATTGCTATTTTTGCAGTTGGGCAGAAGCCGACGATGATGTTCATGGAACCCTTCCCCAGCTGCTGCCTGGGGCTGGACTGACCCCTCCTCACCCAGGGTCTCCTTCAGTAAAGGTACGGTGGGCGGGTCTGAACCTGTGGGGCTATCCTCTAAATCCAAAGACCTTTAGGAAGGACAGAAAACAATAGAGGTTCAAAAAGGTTGCATCTCAAAAAATAAGACACATTGTAATGCACAGCATTTGGTTTGGACTTGCTCAGGAGACATACTTTGTGGTGCGAATAACGAGGTTAGCCAATGAGTGCTTCCCGTCCAGCTCGTCTCTGTGCAGAGGCTGCTGGGCCAGCAGCAGACTGTAGTCCAGCACATTGAGCTCTTGAAGGAAGGCAGCGTCCACTTTCACTTGATGGGCAAACCAGGATTTCTCTTGACCTACAGTAGCATTAATTTAGCGTGCCCTTACACAATGTGTTTCACTTTTGTTTTGCTGCTAAAAGATACTGAAATAGCTCATCATCATCATCATCAATTAGAAGAGTAATTAAGTGCACTTACCTAATGCAATGGTTTGCCCTTCAAAGTTATTGTCCTTCAACACTTGTATTATTTGTTTCCCGCCTGTGTCAGGGTTAGTCCATCTACCCACTTCACAGCCTTTTATATCATATCTATGAAACCGAAAAATCACAGCGTTCATACACCCATAAAATATATCAGAAATCCATGTAAAAAGCTTGGTAAAACCTGGAAGCTGTACCTGATATTGATCCTGTCATCAGGGTAAAACACACTCTGCATCACAATAAAGTATTTCTGGAGAGCAGACAAACAACACTGTGTTGTAAACACTGCTACTGTAAGGAAGTCGTTTAAATAATGACCCACTGGTTATTATGTTGATGAAATACCTTTATTTGATTAGGGATAACAATCCTGTGGACACCTGGAACATGTAAAGGACAATATGATATTATTAAATCATATGAATCAGAATCAAGCTTATGCCAGGTACGTTTACACATACAGGGAATTTGCCTTAGTATCTGGTGGTGCGAACATAAACAATCTAAGAAAATAAGTTGCCTTAAATAGGTAAAAAAAAAAGAAATATATAAGGATAATAAAACATAGTATTTTTAATAAACGATTTAGCATTTAAAAAAGGATACTAAAGACAAGTATTTACACCAAAAAACAAAGACACTTGGGACAATGAAAATATGGCAATATACAGTGAATTATATTCTAAAGTGGAGGGCTGTGCAGACATGTGAACAAATATGTGATATTTCTAAATTAAAACATCCCACTGCAGCATTGACCTGCACTTCTCTTACCCAGAAATTTCACCATCAGTGAGTGAGGGTATTTCTCCAGATGGGCCATGTATGCCTGCAGGTTGGACAGCAGGAAGCTGACCTCACGCTTGCTCTGGGTCTTCAAGAAGAATCTCTTATCATTCCTGAAACCAAGAACAACCTTATCACCAGGCAAGAACAAGAACCCAACGTTAATATTGGATGATTGTGCAAAAACCCCAGACTACGTCGAAAGGGTTTTTCTTCTACTCCAGTGACTACACTTTTAAATTCTTGCGATCACCTTGACCCAGCTAGGGAGCGATCAGTCAACCTTCACATTTTAGTCACACTGACATAAATCCATGTTCTCGCCAACATATTTCACCAAGGCATTTGTTATTTTCGGCAAGACCAGCAGATTATTTTGTTACATGGCTATATATGTGAAAAAGATTGTGTAGATTTAACCGTGCTCACATATCTGCATATATGTACATTCACCGGATCAGAGTGTAACTCGTTATGTTTGTTATTTCTATTCATACTGGTACATTTTTACATACTTATTTGGCCTCTTATTATGCCCGTGTAATGTATATTCCATGTGTATTATCTGTGTTTCTCTCTTATTCTGTTGCTGCTATGACACCTGAATTAGGGGGATCAATGAACGTCCATCTTGTTTTATTTTAAAGGGGACCTATCATGCAAAATGCACTTTTGTACGTCTTTTCTACATGAATATGTGTCCCCGGTGTTCCAGGGAACTCACCAAGTGTCAGAAAACACAACCCTCTCTATTTTCCTCCATACCCAAATCTCTAAAAAAGGGGCTGCAACGGATCTGATAAAAACTGATCCAGATTTGAACACTTTCCTGACGTCAGGACGGTGGCGCTATGGCTATTGGGCCAACTCTCCACCTATCAGGAGGAAACAGCCACGGCCATTGCCGTTCGAAAGCGCTGGAGACGCTGTAGTACATATGCCAGGCCAGTAGATGGTGCTGTTCTCACAGAATCAGCCCTTGCTAAAACAGAGCTAGAAATTGTCAAATTGAGCAAAATGAGGCATGGCTAAAATGCATGATCTGTTTGGTATTTTGAAAAAAAAAAAGTATAAATATGCCTTATATAGGTATGGCCCTACACTATATTATTCAAATATAGCATGATAGGTCCACTTTAAGTAAAACTCCCAGCAAACAGTCAACAGGAAACATGGCCGAAACAATGAGACTTCTAACTAATACAAATTGAAAATCAGTCTAGTTGGCTCCTATTTTACAAATCTTAAAGAATATACTTGGAATCCTTTGGATCAGCTCTTTAGTGCTGACTAGATCAGTTGCTCAGTGGTGGTGCCATGTAGGAACATTTAAAAAAAGGAAGGTGCTTCTTGCCTCCACAATTGTATTTATCTATTTATCCATCTATTCATCTATATTTATTTTTTTGTATTTAAATATTCTGGCGCAGGCCTTCCATGTTTTTGAGGAACCACGCACAGAACAACCCAGATTGACAAAATTCACAAACAGCCCTCTAACAACCCACCCTCTCCACCTGGCTGAAGGCTAGACTTTGGCAGCAGAGGTCGGAAGTAACTAAGTACATTTACCTAAGTACTGTAGTACAATTTAAACTACCCCCCCCCCCCCCCCCGGGCTATAATTGAGACATATGTGAGTTTATTTATGTGCATGCTCTTGTACTTGAAGACAAGGGTGTTAGGATGAGATAAAGATAGACTAGACTGTGTAATAGAAGATTACACTTACGTGACAAAGAAATTTGCCTTGCTCTTGGAGTTACTGACAAACTGGAGGTAGCATTGGTCTGAGCAGAGGGAGTTCATGTACTCCTCCTCTGTGATGTCCAGAGAACGCCTCTGTTGAGCAAACACTGATGCTGCAAATGTCTGCATCTGAAAACCCTGCAAGGCAAGGAGAGATATTCTTAGAAGGAGCAACTGAAACTCAAAATAAACGAGAACATTATGAAAATATGAAAACTGGATAAAGCTTTAAAAAAATGCTCTTATTAAAAAATGCCCACTCACCTCATGAGTTTGAGTTTCCTCTGACGCGAATTGTTCAGCTGCAGGTGTATCCTGTGCAAAAGGTTTTTCTGAGTGAATTTACATCTACAAAGTGTCATGTATGCGGCCTTAAATCAAACGGCTCTTCACCTGGCCTGATGTGTCCATTGTGGTCTGTATTGAAGAATGCATGCCTTCTTTTATCATGGATGTCAGTTGGTAAAACTCATGCTCTGGGTTGATCTCAAACACCCCCACCATCCTCCAGCGCTGTCTCAGACGCCACCAGCGTCCCCGCCTGGCAGCTCTGGAGGGGCCAGCAGCTTTTCTGTCTTCCATCTGTGACACCCGGCAGACGTCCAGTTGAAGAGGGATATTCCAATACAGTTAAATGCTCACATAAACATTTCTAAAGTATGATCATGTGCCAAGATCAACGTGTTTAAATGTTTTAAAAAGCATGGGCTGCAGTGATGTGGAGGGATATGTTATGGTCTTATTTTATGGTGGATCCCAGAACATTGGGATGTTCACAACCGATGTGCTGGGATCCACCATCAAATAAGACAGGTTCATTTGTATCCCTCCACAAGAGTTGTCCAACAGGTTTTAAATAGTTGACAATAAAAGCATGTAAAACCAGTTTCACATGAAAATAACAAAGACCAACCAACAACCCTCTTGTTTGAAGACTTCCCTGAGATTTGTATCTGTTTTGGACATCAGTCTGCCGTGGTCACATGTATGTGTTGTTTAGGTTTGTAGTTCATGAATATACGAAGACAAGTTTAATTTGAATACAAAATAGCTGATTATCATAGAGCATTGTAGCATTTTTAGCATTGAGACTACAAATCCGACTTTCCAATGTGCTGGTGCAAATGTGTGCACCACCACATGTGGAATTATGGCTTGTAAAAAGATAATAAAAAAAGACATAATTTAGGTTTTAAAACAGTCGCACTTAGAGTTGGTTAAGGTGACAGACCTACAACACCATACTAGCTAAAAAAAAAAGCATGCTCACAAGCTCAAAAAACTCAAAGTCTTTAGTTCTGGTGATGAGTCTAGTTTCTACATGATTCTGAAAGGCTAAATCACGCTACAATAAGCTCAAATAGCTCTTACCTGGGTTCTTGCTTGCGGTAAAAAAACACAGCAAATGGTTGAAACGTTTCTGAAGTCTTTGTTTATATGATGTTCCCTCCCATTCATGAATACGGCTAATACATTCCAGACAGGTTAAGCAAGCTCACAGGGTGTGCCACATGAGGGAATGTGTGTTACGTAGGCGTGTCTGCACTGAAACCTGAGGAGCAACCACCTCAACCGCACATTCATGGGCGGCACCAGATATTTTCTGTTGGGGGTGCTGTGGGGTAGCTTGCCGCTTCATTAGCATAGAGGTTGTCGAGTCAAACATGTAGGGCATGGGTCGGCAACAGGCGGCCCGCGGGCCATTGTTGGCCCGCCAGCAATAATATTTGGCCCGTAATTTTGAGAATAAAAAATTAAAAAATATTTTGAGATTTATTTTTTTCTTTTTTTTTTTTTTTTACAACATCGGACCGACAGTCGCACATATAGGCTATAATGTCCGAATAGAGAATCTACCTACACCTGAAGAATGCTTATTGTACTTTTATCTATGTTGAGAATGAATGACATACAGCACAGGCATAATCAGGCAGTGGGGTGCACTGACGTCAATTAAAGTACTTATTTAAAGGACACCTATCATGCTATATTTAAATGATATATTGTAGGGCCATACCTATATAAGGTATATTTATACGTTTCTGTTTTCAAAATACCAAACAGATCATGCATTTTAGCCATGCCTCATTTCACTCTATTTGCTGTTCTCCAGCCCTGTTTTTGCAGGGGGCTGATACTGTGAGCTGCAGCTGACCACGCCCCCCTGCAGGAGAGGGGAGCGTGCTCTGATCAAGTCAGAAGAGGGGGAGAAAAAGAGATCTCCGTCCTCCGTGTTTTATTCTTATATTATTATATAGAGTCGTTATTCATTTGTTTTAAAGCTCAATAAATAACAAAGAAGACCTTTGACCGGCACTTTTCTAATTTTGTCCGGAAGATTTAAACTTTAACGGACATCTTGACCGGCGAAAGAAAACCTAACTGAAACTCTGCCGCACGGTCCCCTCGTTCCTTGGAAGAGGCGGAGAGGTGGGTGTTTGTCATCTGCTGGTGGACTAACCGGAGAGAATTACAGTGCTTGCCTCGGGGAGGGAGAACAAAAGCCACAGCGGAGAATAAACAGAAGGGTAACCATGGCAACCATGCGTGGGAAGTCTTCTTCGCTGCTTTTGTGGCAGACTACAGCGCCACTTACAGGCCTGGCATATGTACTACAGCGTCTCCAGCGCTTTCGAGCGGCAATGGCCGGCCGTGGCCCAACCCCACATTCCCCTGATAGCCCAATAGCCGTAGCGCCACCGTCCTGACGTCAGGACAGTGTTCAAATCTGGATCAGTTTTTATCAGATCCGTTGCAGCCCCTTTTTTAGAGATTTGGGTATGGAGGAAAATAGAGAGGGTTGTGTTTTCTGACACTTGGTGAGTTCCCTGGAACACCGGGGACACATATTCATGTATAAAAGACGTACAAAAGTGCATTTTGCATGATAGGTCCCCTTTAACTAATAAATACATTGAGTTTGAGTAAAATACTTGGTTACTGATTAATTTAGGTTATAATATATTAAATAAATTGCAAAGCAAAACATGCTGTAATTTATTTATTTTGTATTTTTTTAAAGGTTTTCAACCTGAAAGAATCCTAATGTGTCCTTGAAAAGTTGAAATAAAGAAAAGGAAAAAGGATTCCAGTTGTCCATGCGTCCTCTGTTGCCCCTCAAGCCTCTCAAATGTGGGCTCAAATAAATGCCAAAAACCCAGAGAACTTGACAATACTTATCAGAATAAAAGTATGTTAAATAACACTGCTACCTAGTTAATAACTCACTCAGTGGAGGCTCGTCCATTGAAGAAAGGGAGGACCATCCTCCCTAAAATTTCAGAAAAAAATAAACTTGGAAGAGAACAATAAATACACCTCAATTTAAAAGATAAGTCTGTTAAAATACAGATAATGGCCCTGACTTTTAACATGGGACTGAAATGGGGCTAGAGACGACGAGCCTCCCTTTCGGCGGGTCTATCCAGAGGCTCTGGATTGGGCGCCTATATCATCAGTGAACCAATCAGCGGATCTGACTGCGCATCAGAGTGTTGATGGGGAGGGTTATCAGCGATATCAGAGTTTTTTCTGAACCAGGGAACAGGGGCGCTGCGCCCTCTTACCAAAATCAATTCCTTGAATTAGGCTTTGATTATGTTCTGGCCCGCCATCTTGTGGCTCAGCAAAAAATTGGCCCACGGCCAAACTTACTTGCCTACCCCTGATGTAGGGTTTCCCATTCATGTAGCTATGGGCTACAGTGAAATGTTCTACTGCAACACTTTTTTTTTTCATTATTGAAGTTAAATGCATCAATCTGGTGCACTTTGAGAGCAAAATGAAGAGATCTATGGATACAGCTCTCAACACCCATATGAAACAGAACTGTAAACAGATGTACTTTTTCTTTATGGATATTTTACAAATCACTCCCCTTTTAAACTGTATTCTTATTTTACTGTCATATAGTATTTCATACCTGTTTTTCATTTATTCTCTTATTGTTTTATAGCCTAACTATAATGATCATATGAAGGTGTGCCTCGGAAATACATGTTTACATAAATGGTGATCAAACTGTTTTGAGACCCACTGAGATAACTTAGACTAAAGTTAACTATCTAAACACTGAGAGAGTCCTTTACCTCACTGAGCTGACGTTATCTGACAGGAGAGGACTTTCCTTAGTTGTAGAAACAGCTTCTAATATCCGTTAGCGCAACTCTCTCTCTCTCTCTCTCTCTCTCTCTCTCTCTCTCTCTCTCTCTCTCTCTCTCTCTCTCTCTCTCTCTCTCTCTCTCTCTCTCTCTCTCTCTCTCTCTCTCTCTCTCTCTCTCTCTCTCTCTCGCCACACACGGAGCCGAGCTTGAATGAAACACCCAGAAGTAGGCTACTTGTACTGTACTGTAACATATCATTTTCGAATCAATAATTTTTCAAATTATGAATTTCCCATATAACAAAAATCCATACATTTATTGGGGTTGCTTAGCAGTTGCTAGGCCAATTGTTGGTGTTGCTGTAGCAACTGCAAGCTACCGCCTGGCGCCGCCCCACATTTGTATAAAAACAAAAAAAAGTGACAAATTAATAACGGTTAGTCCAACAGAAAACAAAGACAACACTTCATAAAATGTACAATGACTCATACCTGTCATGTGCTACTTCCTGTTGCTGCTGTATTTCTGTATGTTGGTTCCATATGTTACTGTAGCTCCTCTGGACCATCGCTGCTCCCCCTGAGAGACGACTGGACCTCAGAAACAGGGTGGGTATTCCCTGAGCCATAATCATAATTAAAGTGAACAATTAGCCAACACTTGTTATCATATTTAATATATCAGGTGCAAGCAGCAATGTAGCCCAAATTGACTGATCTTTTTGTTCTATGAAAGTCGGCAACAGGTGACACTTGCTGCATTAATCAACATGTTTATGTTAACAAGGGATCAAATGATTATGATTAAATGATTATATAATGTGAAAGGAGAATGACCACCTGACTCTGCAGCTCCTCTCCAGTAAACCTGCTGTATACCAGCCTTGAGGTCATGGTTTGGTGTTACAGCACCTTCCTCCCGTCATGTTCAGCAGATGCCCAGTGAGGGGATTGGTGGCTCGTGTTGACAGAACACCAACTCATTTTAAATTAATTTCTTTTCAGATAATGTTTATATTTTAAGCTGTCCTGGTCTAGAAGTTTTCCAGGATCAATCGTTCATATTGTATTATTTCATGCAGCATATATGTTTGTGGGTCTGTTTGTGTCCTCAGGCTCTCGGTCCCGACTGACATCACATACTGACATCTACCAAGCTCTTGCCTTAAGGCCCAGACACACCAGGCCGATATCGGCCGTCTTCGGTTGTCTGGCGACAAAGCGTGCCCTGTCGCCCAAAGTCAATTTGGTGTGTCCTGAACCCTCGGCCGTGACACGCCTTATTTGGCCTTTCACGGTCGACACATGGCCGATTCAACATGTTGAATCGGCCATTTGTCGGACACAAGCTATCGGGCCAAGAAACCACTCTGATCAGCTGTTCAGCTAGCAAATGAGAAGCGAAACGGAAGTGAGGGACGTAAACAAACGATTTAAGAAGGCACAGGACAGCAGCTAAACCCCAGCAGGTGATACTTAAAGACATCAAACATAGCCCTTACATGTCCTCTCTTACCTCCCACACATAGCAGGGACATCTCTGATATCGGCGGGAGCGTCCCCGGCTGTCCTCTGCTGAGAGCTCCGTGATTTGTTTGGTCAAGTCCGGTTTTTCATCTCATCGGTTTATTTGTCAGTATAAAGTTGCAGGATTAGTCTCAAGTACCTCAACATTGTCCTTAATTGATTGAGAAACACCCATAGACTGTGGGTGCTTCTCAATCGCGAGTAAAGCTGCTGCAGAGCCACTATTTCAAGCATACTACGTCATCGAGTGCCGCCGAAGTACTGTTCCAATCTCCAGCATACTTGGAAATCTACCGAGCCCGGCGTACTCCGTTTGGAGAAATATCGAGGCTGCACATGAGTAGAACGCGGTCTTAAAATCCCCACAATGCTTTGCGCACGGACCAATTTCCCCAAATCTGTGGCGGAAGATGTAAGGCGGGGCCTCTCATATGACGCACACCTGCACACTTGCTAGCCTGTTCCACTCTTTGTTTTCCAAATGTCAGGAAGTATTCTTGCCTCGCTTCTGAAGCAAGTTGCTCGGCAGACATGTGCTACCAAGCAAGCGTACTCGCGATTGAGAAACACCCTGTATATATAAATGGACGTAGGGTCCGTGACGTCACCCATAGGATTCTGCAGAGTTGCCGAGAAGCCCTTAGTAGGCGGAGTCGGCCACTAACGGCTCGACAGTGGCGTCAGAGTTCCACTCCCGCCTGCTCCAAATAAGGGCAAAGAGGCGGAGCCGAGGCGGGACCTGCTGCCACCGGGCTGGAAGTTCCAGAGCTAGCTGAAGCTACCAAGCTAAGCTAACATGCTCCCCATCTGCACACTGCCGTCGCATTTTACGTTTCTAAGGTAAGCGGACATGAGACTATTCAGCA